TTAAATTCCCAATAGTTATTTCACAATCTGTTATCAAAATTTCGGCTTTCTTCAATCTTACTGTTTGTTTGTTTTCTTGTATTCAGTTATATTCCAATATTTTATTCATTCACGTCTCAGACTTAAAGGCTAAACCAAGGTTGTAGTTAAAGGAAGAATAGGTTGATATTATGAAACGCATTTTAATAGTTGTTTTATGAATTTTCGGCAGTTAGTAGAGATGAGGAAATCTACCATTGGTGCATTGTTACCAGTTTCTGAGCTCGGGGATTATACAGTCTTCTTTTTCAAGTGCTTTTAGTAGCTTGTTCATTGGTTTTTCATATAGACTTTTGAGGTTTTCATCTATTTTTCAATATTTGTTGGGGTCATTTAATCCTTGTTTCGTCAATGAGATGTACTCTGTGTTATTCATTAAAACCATGTTTTGGTGTTTGTTTACATTGTTAGTGATTAGTTATTACGTACCATTACTAATTCGACGTTTTGTTTACTCTTCGTTGAGTGTTTAAGATTATTTTTTGATTTGTTGGAGAACTCTTGAAAAATTATTTGATGGAATAAGTTTTTAATGTTCGTTGTATCTCAGCCGCCCTGAAAAGCTCTGGATTGAGCGAAACGCGTCGTCGGCAATGGTTTGTTTGTTTTTGAATTTCGCGCAAAGCTACACCTTAATTTAGCAGTGTGAGACTAGAGGGAAGGCAGCTAGTCATCACCACCCACCGCCAACTCTTGGGCTACTCTTTTACCAACGAATAGTGGGATTGACCGTCACGTTATAACTCCCCCACGGCTGAAAGGACGGGCATGTTTGGTGGGACGGGGATTCGAACCCGCGACCTTCAGATTGCAAGTCGAGCGCCCTAACCACCTGGCCATGCCGCAATGGATATGGCGAGTATAGTGTGGTTGAAATAATATTATTGTACACTCTTCTAGTTCTTGAAAAATCCCTAATGTACTAGATTACAAAATGCAATGTTAAAAATATAATAGGCTTAATATAATGTCTTATGACAAGTATAATTAATTATAATCATGCTTCCTTCACAAACTTGTAAAAGGCGTTCACACCATACTGAACAAAAGTCCAGTCTTAACAGAACTAAGAGCATACGTAATTCAGAATAATAACAATGAGTATCGCCTGACATGTGACAACGTTATGAACAATAAGAAGTGAACAATAATAATGTATGACAATAATATAAATATGGTGAAGAAAACATTAATGTGAAAGCGAAAACATTCACATCTAATATATATGTATAGATAAATGTAGTTATAACCTCATATATATACATACATATGCACCCTTCAGAAAATAAATAATTAAAACAGAAGGTATTAAAACGTCCATAAACGCATAAATAAATCGACCATTTAGAGTGGTAATCCTCTATCTCTGTCAAATGAAGTATTCTCAAATCAAGTTGGAATAGACTCCATGTATTTCCTGTCCAGGAAGACGTGATATTTTCTTTCTATTTCAATACTGAAAGGGTGATCAGATTTAGGCATACCGTGTTCCTTAATAGAATGTGCTTCAATCGCATTCCTTTCAACTTCACCTATCATTGTAACACAGATCTGCCATGCAACACTCTTTTACAGGTCTCTCAGTTTCACCAACAATATATTTTTCGTAACAAACATCCCAAGATATACTGTAAACCACGTACTTCTCCACACACTGCTTTCAAAGTGCTAGATTACAGTCGTTTTGCTGGCAATGATTGCGGGGTTTAAATTCCGCGCACACGAAATGTGACTTAAGTGAACATAGTGGCTTTTCCATCACTTTCTGCTTTATTTATCTTACTAAAGAGTGTGTCTATGTGGTTATACTTATGTTTAACTCTATATATCTATTGGATGTGAATATTCATGTAACTCGTCTGTTATGTTTTCGCTTTTTAAATTAATGTTTTCTTCACCATGTATATATTGTTGTCATGCATTTATTATTGTTAACTTCTTATCGTTGAAAATTTTGTCGCGTGTCAAATGATAAATAAGAGCTTATTATTAATATTTTGAATTATATTAGCTTAGATTTTTTTTTCTTTCTAAATAATAATAATAATAATACTGGAGAGTAAAAGTCGTTTTTTTTTACTTTTATTCACAAAATGAGTACTTTCCTCCAATTTACACTACGAATTTTGAAAAATAACAATTATATTAGCTGTTTGTTCTGTAAAGACTGTTAAGGATTGTATTCAGTAGAATGTCTACCTCTTGATAAAGCCATAAGGTGAGACGTTGAGAAACTAAAGAAAATTCACTAGATACTGGCTATTTTTCTTTGTTACAAACTCTACTAATTCATCTTGTACCTTGGACGTGAATATTGTTTAAGAATCACGTTCGTTTAGTGTTAGTCAAACGTATTTCATTTTCAACACTATTTTTACGGATATACAGAGATATATTTTTTCACGACGTTTCACCTTGTTAACCTGACGTAATTAGGTGATTTCCATCATATGATTAGAACAGAAATCATAGAAAGAAATACGTAAGCATCAAAAGTAATGTAATCAAAAATTATAACAAACAACAATATTTAAACCAAATGTTTATTTCAGTATAATAATATACATTAACTATGCCTAGGACTTAAAACATTAAATTCGGGATTCGATATCCCGTGATGGACACAGCAGATAGCCCAATGCGGCTTTGCTCTAAAACAAATAAATATTAAGGCATTATTAAATTTAGTTATTTTTCTTAAAGTGTAGCGGATACCGTAGGAATTTATTATTATTATTATCTGGAAAGTAAGGATAGTTTTTTTTTCTTATAGCATTTTTAAATGTACATGTAGACTGTAAAATGTCACCTAGATGTCTTAATAAAAATACTGATTGGTAAATGGAATTTCAAATGGCAATGTCTTAAGTTTTATTCATGAATATAATAACAAGCACTGGGGGCTACATAATTTTCCATATTTAGGCCTTTATCTTTGTCATAATGGACCCCAACAAACTGAAAATTGGGACATTTAAATGCAAAGTTGAAGGGCCTTTTATGGTATTAATGTTTAAGTGAACCCGAAGTTTTGTTTAATTTTGGTAACATTCGAGAGCAGCATTGATTGCTTCAGGAATGAAAAACTTGAGTGAAGAGACTTTTTACATCAAATCATGACCAGACGAACAAAAGATCTGAATTCTCATAGTTTCTTAACGAATATTTTGGAGTTTTTTAATTAAGGTAAAGTCTCGAGAAGGAATACTAAGTTTATGAAATTTTGGGAATTCATAAATCTGAAGGATACGCAAGTCGAAGTGTCGAAGAAAACCGTTTAAACCATCTGAAAGTTGAGAAGTTTAAAGTAACTGTAAAAGAAGGTATTACTATATATTTTCTTCGGATGAGGTTAAATTAGCTTATAGTTCGAAAAAATTAATAGAATTATGTAGAAGTGCGCAATTAGTTTGCGTTGCTTTTGTCAGACTTTAGTGAAACTATAATACTGCTCTCATTCTTCAACAGATTCAAGTGCTTTAATTTCTCCTTGAATAGGTTAAAATTCAGCTTTTTAGGTTTCTCAAGAAGAATGAAAAGTGGCACAATTTTACTATTTTCTCAAATTCTAGGAAATAAGATGATAATTAACTGTAGTTTATTTAAACTTCCATTTAGTTTTTGATTATTAATACTTTCAGAAATAATATTAACAGAATTTTTAACATAAGTTTTAGAATTGTAAATGAAATGAGTGGAGATAGAGTTATTTAATATTTGTAATTTTTCTAGGCAGATCTTCCAATCCTATCTGGAAATCAAGTTTTGGAATAGTCAACAACAAAACTTATTTTCTTTTAAAGTTGTATTTCATCACAGGAAAACTGAGAGTTAGAGATTAAAAACAGCTTGTTGTTGTTGTTGTTTTATAGGGAATGGTGGTGTTATCTTGATGATGTGAATCAGTGTTTTTGTGATTTTTATTTCGGTTACACTTTTATAATGATATTATATCTAATAAGTCGAATCAGAACTTCGAAATCTTCTTTAGTCAATCTTGTTTCTAAAATCAATATAGTTGGGTGATAGTCATAAAAGTCTGTATTTTCACGGATGTGTGCATGAAGGAATTTGCGTTGAATTATTTTAGCAGACTGTAAGTTAAATATTTTTAACTTACACTTTGGAAAATTAGGTATGATATTGGGATCACGACAGTTTTGGAGACAAAGAATATCCAAACTTGCCTTTCGTGGACGAAGCTCATTTTTCTTCTGTAAACAACGGGAGGTAGTTTTTTTTTACAAAAGTTTGTGACACTAAATCTTACTACGGTATGAAGAAAAGTACTTTTCAACAGCGGAGTTCGATCCTCATGAGGGACACAGTACAGATTGTGTAGCTTTATAGTTAACAACAAAACAAATAAACAGGGTTTTTGCATCCCTGATTGTATATGCTGGAAACTCCCGAAGAAGCATAGAACCCTCATTCTTGAGCGTAAACTACAAATGGAATTACTGGTCGAGTTCTTGTTGTAATTTGAGTTTTTTTACTCCGGTCTGCACTTCTTACTTTAATGAAGAATAGCGGAATTATAAATCATGATGCTCAGATACTTCAAAGATCGTGTAATTGCAGTCAGTTATATGATACGGAAATAATTCAAGGGTGTATCTGATCAATAAGTATTTTATTAAATTAACCTCCTTCCATGATTTTGTCGACTCATTAAATATATTGCAAATATGATTAAGTTTGTTAGATTTAATAAAGAAATAAAAAAATTCTATGATGCAAATGATGTACTTTAATGGGTAAAAAAGCCAAACGTCTGAGAATTTGTGCGTAAAATTTTTAAATCCTTAAACGATCTAGACATATAGTTATCTTTATTATGAGACTTATCGCATCTTAATGAAAGAAAATTATTAATGACAGTAAAACAGTTCAAAAAGACTGGAAATGACAGCACACAACTAGTAATTTGTTCATATATGTTTTTTATTTTATTTTTACAGGAAGATTCATTACATTAATGAGATGATGAAAGAACTGTTTCTTAATGATACTTTGTGATATCAAACATCGACTCGTTTTCGTCTTACAACAATGTTGGAAAAAATAAAAAAATAGATACATTAACAACCTCAGTGTTATTTGATTTTTATCCTGTGATAATACATCGTCATCTTTAATATAAAGTTGCATTCATCTATCAAGCCATTAGCCATTGTTGAAATGAGTTGGTTGGATGGTTTTAGAACCGATTTGGAACGCGATCCTTTGTTGTTTTTCCTAATAATGTAACGCCTAATGACTAATTATTGACACTGACAAAACCACCTGATTTTTAGCCACCTCTTCTATCATTGTTCATGATAATTAGATCACATTTTCTTAAAAACACGTTCAACTTGGAGAGCATCAACAAGAGTTATGTATGGAGCTACTTGTCTTTCTAATAGTGACTAATGTTTTAACGTAATTACGATTTCTTCGATTTGTAGATTTTTAAATGTAATTTAACTTTATCCACTCTCACATATGTAACATATATATGTTTTTTTTCAGTCGTGTTACTTTATATTGTCAACGATTTAGTAAAAACATTTTAATTATGGCTACGTGAGTGATAGTATGTTTATCTTCAAAAATGTCAAGCTTTTTGTTGCTGTTATTAAACATAATCATTGTAAACTTCATGTCTAAAATGAGGAATATGCGCATGCTGTTATATGTATTTACTGACGTGTAGCTGTAACAATCAATTTCAGGAGAATCATCCAATCAGGCTTGGAGAAAATTCCCAATCTTGCTGAGCTTCGTACAGAGAACATAATTTCGATGGCGTAAGTATGATCTAGAATACAAATAGTATTTTGTTACCACATGAGAATCATTAAGCATTTCTAGGTTTCAAATTTCCCCCCTTCTTATTACTAAAGTTAACAGACTAATTTAACAGTTTGTCCAATTATACTGAAAACGGAAGCTAAATAACTCTTTCTTCTGCTTCTCTTTACATTAGTAGGAAAAATTGGCTTTATGTATCACTGATCTAATACCAGTCGACTTTCCTTGATTATATCACTATTTTTGTTGAAGTTTGAGATCTAAGGTGGAGTTCGTTATTTCATAAAGTATAGTTGAGAGCAAAACTTTTTAATCTGGTAATTACTTGGTGAGCATCTTTGGTAATGAAAACAGCGTAATGTTTTGTTATACCTATCTTGAGGCAGAAATCCTAAGGAATAGTTTAATTACTTTTCATGTTGATAATTGGGTAGAAGACAATAATGATTATATATATATAACATACCAGAAGATCATTCCATATCCTCATATAAGGCGATTTTTTCAAAATGAAGAATAAAAAATATAATAATTTTGAAAACACTTTATAGTGTTCCTAATCATTATACTAATGACATTGTAGTACTTTTGTTTAGATCAGGTTGGGTCGGTTTAAGCTAATTATTATTATTACGGCTATGCAAATAGTTCGCAAAGAGAAGCGGAAAAGTTTGTTTTTTGCAAATACTGCAATTTAAGATTAGTTTATTTAAGCGGATCAGTTCAAAATCTTACATATTCCAGAAAAAAAATCACTTTACTTGAATGATGTACTTTTTTTTACAAACATCGTTTGTCACGTACTGGAGTTTTCCAAATTTTAAGTAGCGGCGCTCCCTAACTCAGCAAAGTTTTCGTTACGCCCCCTTCACATAAAATAATTTTCAAGAGTGGTAACAGCAAAATCAACATTTTTCTACCTGTTTTTAATATTCTTTAAATTAAAAAATGCTTCTAAGAAGTGAGTAAATGCGAGATAGTTTTGTTAAGTTATCGTTGTCCCCAACTCTTCTGTTTGTTTCGTCGTTATTTTTTAGCTCTCCCAGGGTGCGCGCCTCACAATTTGGAAAACATTGATGTACTTACAATGTTTCCTATTCTATCTTCCTGCTGAATAAAACGTGATGCTAAAATCGCAATAGCTGTTGCGAGATTTTTCTGTTTTGACGCAAAGTTTGTTTGTACTATTTGTGTATGACCACAGGATCGATTTGGACACGGTCTTCTCAGATTATATATTTTCTCAGTTTATGTACTAGTCACACTACCATATGTTTAGTAAAAACATTAATTCTATTTTATATCTATGTAAATTTCTATGCCCAGTGAATTTCTATAGTTACAGCGGTTTTAATGATAATGCTATGTGACAACCCAACTTTTTCATCTTCTTGATTTGGGATCGAGCCCGAGATATCTGACACGCTAAACAAAGTGCTCTACTAACTTAACTAAAGGACTAATCTCGTAGCTACTGTTAAATGAGTCCTTTAGTGGGTATCAACTTCGTTTTATGAACTTTTCCTGCCTTTGTTAGGTCCTGATATGACGTTTCGAGTTTATAATGAGTCCTTTAGTAGGTAGCGAGTTCGTTTTATGAAGTCATCTTGCGTTTTTTGGTCTTGAAGCATCGTTTTTAGTTATAAGCTGAGTTCTTCATCAGGATGAACAATTTAGAGAGGCGGGAAACTTGTTTCAAGAGGAAACAAAGGCAAGAGAAGTTTATAAGCCATATAGTCCATACACACTAAAGGACTCGAACCATAAAGTGATGTGCATGTGCGTTACAAAAACCACAATATTTGTTTGGCAACATAATCTTGGCTCACAAATCTGGAAAAACATTTTTCATCAAAATCGCGAATTTATGAAAAAGGGTATATTTTAGATGGTAAACCAACCAGGATCATATGGTACTACAAGAACAACAATCATGGTAGAAAGAAATCCTTATTTGTGACAGTATATATTAAATAGGTAAAGTATTTGGATTTAAATTTAGCCTAACGTGTAAGCATACAACGCGTGTCAATGTTAACCATAAGCTACTCTACATATGAATAAAATAATATAGGATAAAATATATACAGCTGTAACCAGTGTTTAATTCTAAATAAAAAGTAATGATTTAAATTAAGAAAAAGAAATATTTTGACATAAAAAAATCCGTTAACTTGCAGAAATAGGGGATATTTTTACTCAATATTTTAAGGGAAGGGTCGGAATGTGTCACGAAACTGCCGAGAAATCACTCTAGAAACGAACGTAAGTAGACAGATATCCATGATATATGAATATATTGCAAGTCTTCTTGAAATATAGCGCTAACGCCAAGAAAGTAACTGTTTAAACTCAATAGTTTTACGGTGTTAACCATTATTATTTGACCTTTTCCTCAGTGACTTCGACAGCAACAGAATCAAACGTTTGCCTACTGGGTCAGTGAAGATTAAAGCTGAAATTCTGTAAGTTACGGAGATCATTTTTGTCTCATTTAAACGTTTAAAAAACTATAAATAACCTGAATGATGGTTCCTAATCTGTCGTTTAAAATAAATCTATTTCACCTTGAATTTGTGTATCACTTTTTAAACTGTCGCTGTTTTTAAAACCGTTGTGTGGAGATTTTCGGCCTCAGTAGTTTTGTTAGGAATACATTAATGACTAATCATAGTTTATAATTTTTAAATTTAAGCTCATTAGGCTAGTAATCTCTTAACGGATAATTTCGATTTTCTTCAGAAAGCAAATGAATAGTGGAAAATCTGATTTGTTCAATTCTACGTTTTTACAATTTTTATTTTAGCAGCAAATATTCGTCCTTTATTATATATAATAACTATGTTTATACTAAGCCTAACAACACTCGCGTCATAATAACTGTTTCCAAGGCCTTACTAGAAACCCTCTTAAAGCCCCTTAAAATATAGGCTATGTATAATCATTGAACTTGCTGAATGCAGAAGAACAGAATTTCATTGGATCAGTCAACAAAAGTGTTTATGTTGAACGTCAGTAGCACCAGAAAACAGACTTCACGGTGATTCACAACACATAGTTAACGAAAAGGGTGATGAGGCAAAAGCTAGTTTCCTTAGTTCACATTATACAACTTATTGTTTATTTGTTGTTAAGCGCAAAGCTACAAAGTGGGCTATATGTACTCTGCCCATAGCGTATTGAAACCAGATTTTTAGCGTTATAAGCCATCAGACTTACTGCTGAGCCATCGGGGGCTATATAAGCTATTTAAGTCCCAGTAGTTTAGTTGTTTCTATTGCATTTGTTAGCACTTAAAGTCAAACTCCTATTCTCAATGGAATATGCGTATTTAATGCAACTTAAACTAATCACGTTTGAAGTTGTTCTTATTTTCTTTGTGCAAGGTTTCATAATGGGCTATCTGCACTCTGTTCACAGTGAGAAATCGAACTTCGCCCGAAATTGAGCATAATTTGTCCGTAAGCTTACTGCTGACCCACCAGGAGACCAACTATGAAGCGAGACTGTAATTTGTTACTTGTATTAAAGAACAACAGATATTTGTCTCACCCTGTACAAAATCATTACATTAAAATGAGAGGTGGTCTATAGCACCGAAATTAGTTACTAGATACTTAAAAGGGGATATTTAGTCAAACTTTCTAACAGTTACTTCATTTAGGCTAAGATTCCTCTCAGCTTCAAATATCTAAAAATCTAGCTTGCATATTGACTTGACACACGTAGATCTGTCAAAATCTAAAATAACTATAAACACACATATAGATGTGCTATGTTACCATATAAACATAAACACATGTATGGATGTACTACGTTATAAAATAAATACATACGGATGTGCTATGTTACCAAATAAACATAAACACATGTATGGATGTATTACATTATATGCCTCCCAGTGGCACAGCGGTATGTCTACGGACTTACAACGCTAGAATCCGGGTTTCGATACCCGTGGTGGGCAGAGCACAGATAGCCCATTGTGCAGCTTTGTGCTTGATTACAAACAAACACGTATTACGTTATAAAATAAATATATATGGATGTGCTATGTTACCCAATAAACATTTCTATGGATGTGCTACTTTATAAAATAAACATAAAAACATATATGGATGTACTACGTTACCAAATAAACATAAACACATATATGGGTGTGCTAAATTACTAAATAAATATAAACACATAAACATGAGAACTGTTAATAAGATTGTATCAATATTTTCGCGCAAAAGTCTGTTTGCGCAAAACCGTTTATAACTATGACATGATAGATTAGAAGGAAGCCAGCCAGTCTACAGCACCCTCAGCCAACCCTTAGGTTACACTTAGTCGAATAAAAAGACTTGATCATTACTCTTATAACGCATCTACGGCCCTAAAGTCCGGAGCACGTTTTACAGCAACGGTCAAATGATATGAACGAACAAGTTGGAGCACGTTTTAGAACAACGGTCAAACGATATGAACGGACAAGCTGGAGCACGTTTTACAACAACGGTCAAATGATATGAACAGACAAGCTGGAGCACGTTTTACAACAACCGTCAAATGATATGAACGGACAAGTCAGAAACCCCATAATTCAGGCATAACCGTCCCTAATTTAGAACTGTTGAGCGTATGGAGGGAGAGCAGCACTCGCCGCCTACTGCATAAAGGATATACCTATAAGGAGACATTCGAAACTGTATTAAACTGAAAATTTGTTATTAAATTGTATCTCGAGATTATAACAAGTTTAGTATGTGTGTTTTTTAACTAGCACGAAAATACAGTTACAATCGTTTTAACGTGTTCTGTTTAATGACTGCAAAACTATTACTTCACATAAACTATCATCAATTTTCTAATGAAAGGGTTTTTAACCATAAACATCCCCATGAGTAATCAAAACATCAATCAATGTTATATTTTATTTCTTTCATTTTTTGTATATATTGTTGTAGTTTTTTTTAGGGGAAGCTACAAAATGGGTTATTTGAGCTCTGTCCACTACAGGGATCGAGTCCCGGATGGTAGCGTTGTAGATCCGTAATCTTACCGACGACCAATTGGGGGAGTGCTTATGTATGAGTATAATATTAATCATAATCATGCATGAAACTTCATAAAAATATTTGTATAAATTGTAATTCTCTGAGTCAGAGACTGAAGTTTTCCAGGTTCAATATATGTTTGTTTGTTTTAGATGTATAAACAAATATAAGGCTGCATAACGGTTTCTAGGCTGGTCCTTTCCATTGTACAATGGTCTATTCATCCTTGAAATTATGATTTACACTTTTAAACCTTACTAACTTTAAACATAGCCTTTTCACTAATCATATCTCATCTGACAAAACACGAAACAACCGATATTATTGAGATACTGTTTCAACCAACTCATTGGAGCACTGTTCACAACTAGCCTCCACGTGGAAACAAGACTTGTTCTAGGGCAACATTTGGTGCACTGATTTAGGCTAAAACATAAGTTATTATCTACGGTGAACATGTTTGTTAATGTTTTACACTTCCATTAAACTGGCCATTGACAGCCTTGTGGTTAGTGTTCTTGTCTGTGGATCAAAAGGTCCCAGGTTTGAGCCGGATATGCCACTGAATACGTTCTGTACTTGTTGCTGTATTGGATGTTATTTACATACTATGAAAATTAATTCCGCCTGGTTATCTTCTCTTTAATCGGCATTTTTAAATTAGGGACGAGCTGTTGACTAGTTGTCCTCTAAAGCGTTGAATATTGTGATACAGTGTGTATGTATTAATATTTTTGAAATAATGTCTAATTTTTCCCAGTGCAGATATTTGATTTTTTGTCGAATTCTCGGTGCACATTCCACTTCTCACGTAGTACAGTATTTTACTGTTTTAATTTCCGCCGTGACTTTATTCTTGGTCATAAATCAGATTTAAATGTTATAAACAGAGATATTCTATTCTAGACAAAAAATATACTCTCGTCTTACTCCAAGAGTATTAGTTCATTTCATTAAAATAAAAGCAAGAACTGTTATATCTTTTTCTGTCACTTAATCAATGACAGTTAATACTTATTAAAATCAGAGGTGGAGCCACCAAGTAGTTTCATGCAAGATTTCCTGATATTAATATTGACATAAAACGTATGGATTATAACAACGGAGAAACAAAAAAGTGTATTTCATCTGCGAATTAGATCCATCATATAATGGGTTGTTTTTATTTAAACTAGTTTTTCTTTCCACTGTAATGGCTGGAGACGGCTTGAATAGGTAACGAAGAAAAACTTTAATATAAGTTTAACATAACAGCAAATGTACAACGTTTCGACAAGGTTTTGTCATCATCAGGTACCTTATATTAAGGTTTTTCTTCATTACCCATTCAAGCCGTCTCCAGCCATTATTAGTCTCAATGCGGGTTCCTCGTCATCGAATTTTCTTTCCACTGTGTTCTTGTTATTATGTCTATAGTTTACTCAGCTGTTTGGGACCCCTGAGTCTAAACGGTAAGTCTGAAGGCTTCTCACACTAACAATCTGGTTTCGATACTCGTTATTGGCAGAGCAAAGATAGCCCATTGTGTAGTTTTGTACTTAACAATAAACAAACAAACTCAACTCTTTGCATTAATTAAAAGACAAATGTTGAAGGATCCATTGTTGATACACATGTTTTCCTAATAAGTAAAAAAAAGAAGAAAATCTGAACGAAAATATTTGGTTTTAATACCAAATTATTTTGTAAATATTCCATCGGGCTAGAGTGCATCATTAGCAAGTTTATATCGGAAATTACAAAACAATTAGGAACCGCTTTTAATTATTACGGTTTTCTGGAGTTTTCAGTATTTACCATACAACCGTAGTATTTATCAGGCATCATTCGAATTGTACTAAAGATAAACAAGTCATTTCAGGTTAGCAACGTTACATCACTTTGACGTCCATCTATCCCAAACTACGATTTATAAAGTAATTTTCTTTAATCTCCATTCTATTTTTATTTTTTTCATCCGCTCTTTCGAACATTAACGAACAAAGAGAAGTTTGCTTCCGGTTACTACGTCCATGTGACTTGGATCGTGATGAACCGCAGCTGAACATCCGCTTTGTGATCAACAAAGATCCGCTTGTGTCCTCGTTCAGCTAAGTTTCACTGTCACGCTCTAAACATTCCTCACAATAGCTTCTTCTTCTTCTTTCATCAAAAACATAAGGTTATGCATTACTACCACTTACTGTATGCCATATTAACCTGCGGACAATCCACACAAAAACTACAAGGAACTTAATATACAGAAACTGTTTCTCTCTATAAGATTCTTGACAAAAAATGAAAGTACATATTACTATTATCAAGAAATAGTTAACAAATTAGGATAAAATATTTAACACGGACAGAAACATTTACAAATTATGATAAAATACTTAACACGGACAGAAAAATTTACAAATTATGATAAAATACTTAACACGGACAAAAAATGTACAAATTATGATAAAATACTTAACACGGACAGAAAAATTTACAAATTATGATAAAATACTTAACACGGACAGAAAAATGTACAAATTATGATAAAATACTTAACACGGACAGAAAAAAGAAAGTACAAATTATGATAAAACACTTCGCGACAAAGCTATACTGTTATTATACCACATTCAAAAATGACCAATTAAACTCACACAAACCGTTTGTTGAATCGTCTATCTTAATATTAAGGTATTGTTTTTATCACGCATCTTATTTGATTTGCTATAAATTTAATAAACGTGTTTTTAACGTCTAGCAACCTAGACTACAATATGATCGAAGAAGTTGAAGACAACGCCTTCGATGGGGCAGAAATAGCCGAAATGTAAGTTAAGCTTTTGTAACGCTAAAATATCATTGTTATAATTGCAGTTAATAGGTTTGTTACAGATGCTGTTTTGTTGTTGTGTGTCTATGAATAGTATGATTGAACTCAAGAAATTACACAAGTTGCCCTGAAGATTTTCTTCTCTAAAGTGTAAAGAATATTGCCCAGAAATTATGGCAGAATTGATACAAACGTTTCTCACCGAACTATATTTAACTTACGTTAATTTTCGTGCTGTAAAATTTAATTCCAATGTCCATTTTCATTATGATTTTCTTACTAAATTACTGTCACGGTATAAGAAGTTGGTTAGACTGTTGGTTCTGATGTTTTAACACAAAACTCTCAGGTTCTCTGTCCACCGCGAGGAATCGATGCGTGATATTTAGTATTTTAAATCTGAAAACGTATCGCTGACCTGTTGACACTTTCCGGGACTTAAAGTATTCCGGTACATTTACAAATTCATATATTTTTATATTCCTAAATGGCACAAAAATACCTGTTGTATAATATGTGTAAGTAGTAGAATTACGAATTGTTGAATGTATAATATGTGTAAGTAGTAGAATTACGAATTGTTGAATGTCATTTTTTATAAAAATGTATGTCTGCAAAATAAAATAAAATAATAAACAATTTTATTACTAATAAAAGAAAATAAACTGTAGAACTCTGATAGATAGAAAGATATATGCCTTAAGTTAATGGTTGATGCATAATTTCATTAGGTAGTTATAAACATATTTCTTAATCAAATTCAAACGATTTGTTTAATCTTTGAACAATTCCGGGATTCGCATGATTTGAAAGAGACCTTCGAATTTTGTGTATTTGTTCGCAAAAATGAAAAATGTATATATATTTATAAGCAATAAAAATTCTGACTCTCCGGCTTAATGACTGAGTATCCGCTCTAATGTAAACTTATAATACAAAAATGTTGAAAAAAATAACAAGTGGCTTACAGATACATTTAATTACACCAAAAATATAGTCATAAAAATATATATTTATTTTTGAAGTTCCTACTTTTGTTTTGTTAGTTGTTAAGCACAAAGCTAAGCAGTAGGCTATCTGTGTTCTGCTCACCGTGGGTATCGAAACTCTAGTTTTAGCGTTGTAAGCTCTCAAGCTTATCGCTGAGCCAACTGGGAGGGCGATGTTCCTACTCTCTCTCTATAAAAGAATATATACATAAATACATTAAAATATGTGTGTGTGTGTGTGTGGTTTTCCGGTGGATCAGCAATAAGTCTACGGACTTAAAACGCTACAATCTGAGGTTCGATTCCCGCTGTAGACAGAGCGTATCTAGTCCACTGTGTAGCTTTGCATTAAAACAAACACAAATATATATATACATGAAAATATACCTAGTAAGAGCGGTCGATTGTTTTTAAGGGCAAAGCACACAATAGTTTATCTGTGCTGTGCCAAACGCAGTTATCCAACCTTGAATTTTAGTGTTATAAATTTTCAAGCTTGCTGCTGAGTCACCGAGGAACAAAATCAATCATAAATTTATACAGTGTGGAAAAAAGACACGTGGAAACTGCACTCTATAAATATCTTTCATGGGACTTAGCTTTCATTTAATGATACCTTTTCAACAGAAAATTTTCAGTAATATTTGATTTTTTGTAAGTACTTACAGATACGTGTTTCGAGTTGCTTAACAACCGGAATCACTTGAGTTTTGGCCACGTGTCAAGAAATCTTTATACACAGAAACACGAACGCATTAGAGAAACGGGAAATATATATATATATATATATATACGTGTGTGCATTTAATTATTATAGAAAAAAATAGGCTCACTTTCCCTAATCTAAAAGCAAGTTTTGAATACTTATTTATATCCTTGCTTTCTTAATTGTTGACGTTTTCTTACCCCCCACCAGTGGCACAGCGGTATGTCTGCAGACTTTACAATGCAAGAAACCGGATCTCGTCGTTGTGGCCATAGCACAGATAGTCCATTGTATAGCTTTGTGCTTAATTCCAAACAAACAAACAAACGTTTTCTTGGTGCACAAAATTATTAGTATTGAATACAGAGCTTTTTCAGATTTACAGTTATTACTTTTACAAGTCTTCTTAACTTTTTTCTTATGTGATCTCCATGATAGAAGTTTAAAAGGAAATCGAAACTTTACTAAAATTGGAGAAGAAGCTTTCACTGGACTAAAGAATCTCCGCAAGCTGTAAGTTCACTGTAAACTACTTCCATGAGTTGTTACTTTTTAAACTGAGTTTAAAAACTTGGAGTTTTTCCATGAGCCATCAAGTTTTATTTGTTTTTCAAAATAACCTTTACAGATTTTACGTTTTCCACAAAACCCCCACAAGTTTTAATAAAACTGTAAATTTATTCAAATATCTTCCATACGTTATAAGCCTTCCAAAGATATTTTACAAATTGTGAGTTTTTCAAAGAGCTGCTGCAAGCTGAAAATGTCTCTAATATGGTTTAAAAGAAACTCTGTAGATTGTAAGTTTTTCAAATAGCTGCCTCAAGCTGAAAATTTCTCCAAATAGATTACATAAAATGTTAAGGTTTTCAAAGAAACTCCTAAGTTGTACGTTTTTCAAAGAGCTGCCATAGGATGAAAATTTATCCAAATATCTTCCATAAATTGTAAGGTGTTCAAAGAGCTGCCGCAAGCTGAAATATTTTCCAATAAGGTTTCAAAGAAACTCCGTCGGTTGTAAGTTTTTCAAAGAGCTGCCTCAAACTGAAATTTTTTCTAAATAGCTTCCATAAATTGTAAGGTTTTCAAAGAAACTCCATAAATTGTAAGGTTTTCAAAGAAACTCCATAAATTGTGAGTTTTTCAAAGAGCCGCTACAAGCTAATCATTTCTACATATAACGTCCATAAATACTATGCTTTCCAAAGAACCCCCACAACTTGTTCTAAGTTTTGCAAAGTACCGTCACGAGTTGTAAATTTCTCCAATTAACTTCCACAAGTTGTAAGTTTTGAAAAAAAACCATCACAAGCTATATATTAATTTAAGCAAACTTAGAAAGTTATCAGTTGTAACATTTTATTTTGCTCAGAATGCATGAAGCCTAATCTAGATATCAACTAAAATTCTAAGTTCGAAAGAAAACATACATAAGTGTTGAAACTAAATTGGGGTTGATCTCTAAACACAATATTACTTAAATTCTGAATCAAAATCAATATCAAATAACTCTAAACTATATCTTCATGGAAAACATTACAGCTTTGTCTTTGCAGTGATAAGGCATACTTCAATGTTAATTGTTTATGTACAAGTTTTGAAGTGAGTTCTCCCGTCTTGGCTCATAAGATGCTTAGATTGACAGGTTAAGGTCCAATAACATTATGTTAAAGTCATAATCTGTTACGTTTTGTTGTATCACATTTACACACAATATTTTCAACCATTTGGGTAGTCTTGTATATGGATGGGTAAATAAATTAACATTTTTTGTTATCTTCTTTTAATACATATTTGTGTAACTCCTATAAACAGCTCTATTTTCTTCTGTAAATACAAACGCCGCATTCTATTTCAAAAGTATTAAAACAATGAATTTTATCGCAACTAAACAGATGTCTGAAAAATATCAAAAACAGTTAGAGCTCATTTATCGTGGCATAGTTATTATATGTTCCATGTACATATATTGCTGTAGCATAGGGCCTGTTCTGGGGGCGAACACCTCAACACGGTAGAACAAAACACAACCATATAGGGGTACCTCCAATTTCTAAGCCACTTTTTGAGAATGGCCACAGCACTAATAAGAAAGATCACAAAAACACTTACAGAATCTGATATCTAGACTTTCTATTGTATTGGTCATTTTCACCCAAAAAAAATCAATCATTCTAAAAATTACGACAGATTTAACAAAAGTTCTTTTTATTTGTGTTAAACTAGCATTGGACTGTATTAATAGTTATTATGATTTTTGAATTTCTGATCTTATTAAATTAATCAAAAGAAGACGGTTTCTATCCAACTGAAATGAAAATGATTAATCACAATTGAGAAGTTAGTAAGTGATCTCTGTGTAATAAGATAGTTACTTAGATATCGGCGTGTGTGTGTGTGAGGGTGACATAAAAAATAAAAAATAACATTGTGAAATTTCATTAGAACTATGAGATGTTTATGTAAGATTAAAATTATATATCAAGGAAGCCAGTCGTTAAAATGTTATAAATATTATTGTTTTAAACCTAGTTTTAAATTTTCGTATTCGTAGTTTTTAAACATAGAATTTATTCTGATTTTTTAGGTTTTATATTATTCACTATAATATTAACGATGACATTAGCTAATTTCTATTTTTTCCCCTAAATATGTTTTTTTTTCTTTTGATATAGGGATTTGTCTGAAACAAGTATTTCTAAACTTCCCATTAAGGGACTATCGGAAATTGAAGTTCTTAAGCTCGTGGACACGTTCAGTCTGAAAGTTTTCCCATCCGTTTATCACTTTAAGTACATCAAAGAAGCTTATCTTACATATCCTTACCATTGCTGTGCTTTCAAGTTTCCAGCTACCCACGACCCTGAACAGCATGCCAATTTGAAAGAGTTTAATGAAGAGATGGAGAAGACATTCTGCGCCAATGTTACCACGCCCGTTCCTGCTGCTACATCTACTGTACCTTCCAGTTTTATAGAGCCGTCAACCGACACCCAACCAAAGCAGGAAGACTTCATCTATAATATCTATGGAAATTTTAAGAAAATTACTAGTCTTCTTCAGCATCAGTATTCGATGAGGAAGTTGAATAAAAACTGGAACATCTACGGGATCCAGGATAGAGGATATTTTATAGGAACTATAGAACCATTCAAAAATGCTCAAGTATACGAAAGAGAAGAAAAAATTGACTTTGGACACCTTGTTTACTCTCCCTCACCTCAAGATAATAGTTCCCAAAGCTGGAACCAGGTGAGAACTCTTGCTTTGGGTCATGTCCCAGGACCTCACAGGCCACAATCAGGTTTCGGTAGGCTGGGGGAAAATGAAGAAAATCCCCCCCACAAATTTATACCAGATGGAACTTTTCATGTGAATACAGCTTCTTTTGATCCACAGAACCCGGTAAAATACTATTGCGGGAATTTTCCAAAGAACTACCGGGAAGTGAAGTGCTATCCTGCTCCAGACGCTTTTAACCCGTGTGAAGACGTCATGGGTAACGTAGGCCTGAGGATCGCTGTATGGTTCGTGGTAGTGGCGGCGATGCTGGGAAACTTGGCAGTTATGGTCGTCCTGATGAGCAGCCGTTTTAGTATGAGCGTTTCCAAATTTCTTATGTGTAACCTAGCAACAGCTGACTTCTGCATGGGGCTCTACTTGTTTATCATCGCCGTTGTGGATTTGCACACTATAGAGGTGTATTTCAACTATGCCATAGACTGGCAACATGGTAAGGAATACGAAAGTGATTATTTAGCTAACAAACTTAGAAATACTGTGAGATGAGTAGTGACGAGTTAATTTCTTTTGTGAATAATATAAATTCCTTTCACGAACAAATTATAGATCTTTTGACTATACGTAATCTTTGGAAGTTTTAGATATATGTCTACCTGTTGAAAACTAAAATACTAATTTTTAAAGCGAGGTAAACCAGCCGATATATTTCAGCATGTGGCATTTAACTCTCACACACATACAATGGAGAGTTAGGCGAGTGAGCAATGAGGTGAGTTAGTTATTAATACCCTGATGACAGGGTAAGAAGTGTGTGAATGGACTAAAGATGAATACCTAGATGGCAGGGTAAGTGTTTGAATAGGATAATAATGAATATCTAGATGACAGGGTAAGAAGTGTGAGGATAGAGTAGTGATAAATACTTAGATGACAGGATACAAAGTGTCTGTGAATAGCTGGTGATGAATAGCTAGTTGATAAGGTAGTGGATAGAAGATGAATGACAAGATGAGCGGATGGATATGCTGATGATATATAGTTATATGGCAAGCGATTGATGACGAATAGTTAGGTGTGCCGATATAGTGAAAGAGTATGCTGATGATAAATAGATGGATAACAAGGTAGTTGGTTGGATGGATTAATAACGAATACGTACATGGCAAGGTAAGTGGGAGAAAGGTAGGAAAGAAGAGTGAATTATGGGTAGAATGGAGGTTTAGTGTTTTCAGATTTTGTGGTAATGTAAAGGAAGATGGATGGGCTTTTAGAAAGGAGTGCGTATAAAAGATAAATTGTCTCCAACCAGAGAGCCAAGTTACGCTTGTTTTAGGTAATTTTGTGTCATTGATTAAGTTTGTCTATCTTATATTTATTGAAACTGTAGATGTCAGTATGTCATGGTTTGAGATTTCTTATTCAGTATCACCACACATGTTTCGTATAACAGTTTCTGATACAGGTTTAGAAAGCAAAAGCTACCCGGGAAGGCTAAAGTCCATGCAAAATCTTAACATCGAAATTTTATGGGGATAAGAAACATGTGAGTAATTCCTAAAACATACACGGGAAAAAAGCAGACATGTAATGTATGACAGCCTTAAAAAAATAGTAAAAAGTATTAACCAGGTTTAGTGTGTTTGCTTTAAGAACAAAGCCACATTGGGCTATTTGCTGTGTCCACCGCAAGGAACCTAACCCTGAAGTTTAGCGTTGTAAGTTCAAAAACTTAACTGCTTTTTCACCGAGGGACACCATATGTAGATCTGAGGCCATCCCACACCACTATCCCTCTGGTCTCACCATCTATGCTAAAAATGTTCGTAAAATTTAGCCTTTTAGAATTTACTCACGTCATGAAACTGTTTTGAACATAACCTAAACTATTTATAAAATAACTTAATTTTTCAAGCCTCTTAAGCCCATGTTCGCTCGGATTTTTATTTATTTTTTACGCTGAAGAGTTCCTGTGACGACTGCAATTAAAAACTTAGAACAATATAAAAATGCTGCGAAATGCAATTAGAAATTGAATGACGCATAGCTGAATGTAGCCTGTATAACTGATTTTGGATTTCTAAAACGTGTTTGAACTCCGCAAAACTGAATTTAAAATTATGGCAAAGGTATAATCACTTTCTGGTTCTGGTTAATAATGACAAAAACAGGAAGAGAAAGAGATGGTTTCGTAAACTCTCTGCGCTCATTAAAGACGTTGCTATGACATTACTTTTTTACCTTTGTATAATAATCCACCTATATAGTTAATGTAAGAAATATTGTTGCTTTGTCATGAAATTCCAAAAGGAAAGACAGTTTGTGAGAGAAAAAAAAAACGTACAAGTTATGGGTACACACGAATATCTGGTTTTTCTGGTATCGTATAAACAGACTTTATTGTAGATGTATTGCCTCCAATAATTTGATTCACAGAAGCCTCTAGTCATTGTATGATAACCATAACTAACTTTAATAAGCTTAGCCCATCTGGCTTATTGTATACAGGATAGAAAAAATAAACGAAGTAGGCAAGGACAGGATGTTGGACACGCCCCCTTTTGAGTTTTACAGAGAAAGTTTTATTATACCATGCTCATTCCTACCTTTTTTCCTCCATTTTTGGTGCACCTATTCCTACACTTTCAATTTTTAGCCTCGGTATAGCGGCTCATGGAACGGTTCTGAGTTTTTATGTGTTTTTTCTCCAAGTACAAACCTTTAGCTCATAGCTCCGTCATCTCTTGACCCAATTTGAGATCTAATTGCAGTTTTGGATTCAGGAGATCAAACCCTTTCGATTGATGTATTTTACCACGCCAAAGTCTCTTAGCTTAATTTACTCTAATCCTGCCTAAAAGAATTTCAATTTGTGGGTAGGCTGGTAGAGATCCTGATGAGTAATAACATTTAATCGGGTATACGTGCACCCCACGCTTGGTATTGCTGGCGCACAAAAATATAGCTAATAAAAAGGAAAAAAGGTCTAATAGATTAATTTACTCTGATACTGCCTAAAATAATTTAAAGTGACGTGGCTATTGAGGATTCCCTCTTGTTTTAATTTTTTTACATTTGTATTATATACATTAAATTCAAATAAGATAATATAATACTTAAAATAAAATTATAGAAATACTTAAAATAAAATTATATAAATACTTAAAATAAAATTATATAAATACTTAAAATAAAATATTATCAATATTTAACTTATTGTTTGTTTGTTTTTGAATTTCGCGCAAAGCTTCACGAGGGCTATCTGCGCTAGTCATCCCTAATTTAGTAGAGGGAAGGCAGCTAGTCATCACCACCCACCGCCAACTCTTGGGCTACTCTTTTACCAATGAATAGTGGGATTGACCGTCACGTTATAACGCCCCAACGGCTGAAAGGGCGAGCATGTTTGGTGTGACGGGGATTTGAACCCGCGACCCTCAGATTGCGAGTCGAGCACCTTAACCACCTGGCCATGCCGGGCCATATTTAACTTATAAATCATTATATAGTTACTGCGCACTTAAAAATATTGTGTACTCAATACTTATGTATAATGAGTAATATTTTTACTTATTATAAATAATAAGTAAATACAATACCTCTCGAATAAATATTGTGGGTCACAATTAATAATGTGTATTTTCAAAGTTTTTTTTTTAATTTTTCAATATATATTCTCAATAGCAAAAAAGAATAAGAAAAGTCACTTTTCTTTTTTATAATGCGATTTTTTATCTTTTTTTGCTTTCTTCAGGAAGGCATTAGCATGTATTTCTATCTAACTCCAGCATAAATAAGTTACATATTTATTGAACTAGTGTTCTTTTTCTTTCTTTGAAAAATAACTAAGGAATATAGTTACGCACTGAGCTCGGTGCTTTGATTTTCCTGCATTCCCTTGAAAGAAAATTTTTATTGAGTCAGACATACAATTGTGACCAAGATCACATACTACAGATGGATCAAAAATGTTGTAAAACACCAATCAGTACTTCGAGATTTCACCTGTTTATGTGATAAAACAAAAACTGATGAGCGGTTATAGGGTTAATACTTAATTGATTTAGCCAAATACTTAGAATTAATTCATAAAAAAAGAGGCGTATACCTTCCTTCACGTTCAGACTTTGTATCTTGATATATATATGTTAATCATTATCCACAGATCGTCCAATACGTTTGTAGTTTCAAAGTAATACAATCATCAAAGGTGAATTGTTCTTGCTTTTAGAGTTAGTAATATTATTTTAGCGCTTGTCTAACTTCGTGAGCATGGCTGCTAAATGACATAATTGTTTAATTCAAATGACGAATTATAGGTGTTGTCTACACCATTGTTTAATTGGCATAACGAATAAAGAATTCAAGATGTTGTCTGTAATATTGTTTAATTGCCATAACGAATAAAGATGAATAAATAAAGAATTTTGTCAATAATATTGTTTAATCAGCATAACGAATAAAGAATTTGAGATTTTGTCTATGACATTGTTTAATAACGAATTCAAGGTATTCTCTACAATATTATTTAATTGCCATAACAAATAAACAGTTCTAGGTGTTATCTACTTTATTGTTTAATTAGTGATGAATTCTAGGTATTATCTACACCATTGTTTAGTTGGCATGACAAATTCTTGGTGCATTGTTTAATTACCATGACGAATTCTGGTACATTCTTTAATTAGCATAACGAATTATAGGTGTTGTCTACACCACTGTTTAATTAGCATGAGGAATTATAGATCTGGCCTACACCACTGTTTTGTTTACACAGTGCTTATTATGCATGATACATATAGCAGTATATATTTAAAGTGCTTTCTAAAGGTCTAAATATTCCAACACTTTTATTTTTATGACTAAATAGTTACCTCTAACTACAAATCACAACCGAAACGTAAAACTATTAAAAATTATTGACACAAACTTTGTTAAATGTGGTTTCAGGTGTATGCCTTTTTGGTAAGGATAATAAAACTTGGTGTCAAGATTTTTCGATTAAGCTGAGGAGCAGATTTTAATACTGCGAAGCACTCCTATCGTTGCCAACTTGAAAACTTGAAGTAACAGCAAGGATAAAACATTTAAAATATAATTTAGATCAATATACCGGCTTGCAAGACACCATGACCATTAACTTTATTTAATTATTAATTATTTAATTATAAAGTATCAATTTAACTTAATAAGTCAACTATATTTCATGTTTATTATGTTTCTTTAATTAAAATAATTTTATACTAAAAGTGAGATTTCAAGTTGTTGTTATTCTCATGAAGTGTGTAAGGAAAATCCCGTTTTCTTATTTCCAATAAACAATCTGTTACACGTCGCAGTGACAGTGATAAAAAAATCTTAACTAACAATATGAATCATGATGTACACGTGGAATCCTGTATAGATTAGTGGCATAAGACCAGCACAGAAGTCTCTTTCTGAAACAGACATATCACTGTACAATTTGCTTTAGTCACATCTCTTTGTGGAACA